TAACCATTCCATAAAATACCTATTGACTATAACCATACTATTTTCCAGTAATCAATGAGAAATTAGCCTTTCGCACAAGATGTGCCTTATTCATTTCTATTTATATTTTGGTTTTTCATGCTGCAATAATTGATTAGGACAAAAAAGAAGCTACACTTAATTTAAAAAATCAATCCTGGCAGAGGATAGTAGACCATTATTAGGGTTTCTCCGCCATCAGCTGTTTTGAAGATAGGGGCGGAAATGGTGTAGTTATAGCGGATTTGAGCTGACGTCATTTTGAGGGACGTTTTGTATAAAATTAGCGTACGTCGTCACAAGTGCAGCAAGCAGGTGGTAACAGGATACAGGTGGTAGGAGCTGGTGGTAATGGATAGGGGATGAAACAGCTGTCTGTACAGTAGTGTGTTTAAATAGCTAATACTTGTTCGTTTGCAATTGTCTTAAATGTATTGGGAATATCAACCAACAGCTACACCAAGGTTTTAAACCAAAACACAGCTTACATGTAGACAATAAATTGAGTTAAAATCATATTGTCGACGGTAACATTTAACAGTAGCCTACAGTATTGTACTAGTGCCCGCGGCGGCGTGGTGCAAGGTTGTGTCACTGGCCGCCGTGAATTAGGCTGAGGCCGCGAAGGGAAAGTGAGCGGGCAGTGGAACAAGGTCAAATGCCCCTACTCAACCTCCATGTGGATTTGTATCCACAGTTCTACAGTTTGCTTTCGGACATAGCGGCGGAGTGTTGTACGGTCCTGGGTCTATCGTTTGCATCGTTGATGCCATCGTAATACTACACCTCGATTGACTCAACAACACAAGGTATTGTAAAAACCAATTTTAATTTATATCTTATGTTAGATAGTCGCAGGTTAGCTGTTTGTGGTTAAAAGATGTTTATACAAAAATACGTTCCAAAAAGTAGATATATTTTCCCCATGTTAGTAAATATTTGTTGGTCTTAAAAAAAAACCTTAAGTAGTGGTGTATTACGGGTACTGGAGACCGTGACGTAAAAAATAAAGTAAAATTAAATATCGTTTATATTTTGTTAAACAGTTTGACAGATCAGACTTTGTGGTCAAAATATGTTTATATAATGGAGTCTTTAGAAAGACTGTTTTTTTTTTAGTGAATTATACCCAATTCCATGTGTCCTGACTTGTGCGAATCAAATAAATTAGTTTGCCATCTTCAACGTCAGGAGGCTTTGGCACATTTAATCGTGTCGGAAAGCAAACCTCTAAAAACTTGTTGTCATAAAAGAAAATAAACGTTTTACCATTTTCGTTTTGTCTTTGTTCTACTAATTGATAATGTTTGTTTTGTAACATATATTTAAATGTTACTTTTTCTGTTTCTATTGGACTTACTAGTTGAGGAAGCTTCATTTCTTGACATATGGCTTCGGGTGATAATTGATTAGAATAATTTGATCCTGATGCATTCCAATGTAGTGGTAATTTAATTTGCTTCTGAAACTTTAGACGTAGTGACATTGACTTGCGAAAATTGCTAGTTTTAGTAGTAGTAGATTTCTTTAAATCTTCTTTTATTCTCTTTAGTTTATCTTGTGTGATTGTACTTGGCTTATCCATAGTTAACATCAGAACAGAGCTAGCATATGTGAACAGTCTTCGTTGAAGGTTCGACACTGAATGATGTGATGTTGGAGGTTTGGAGACTTCCTTACTTAGTAGGTAGAATTACCCGACAGTAGGGAAATTTACCCGCGAAGCAGGGTAAACCTCCCAACCGACCCCCTCCCAACTGGCTCGCGGATAAAAGTAGCGGCAGCGAACGGACTGTAGTCAGTCTCACCCAACTGGCACAGCTGACTGGTTGAGTGTAGACTGACTGACTTTTGATTAAAACCTTTCGTTAGATTTGGCCAATCTAACTTAATGTTTTAGTCAATAGCATGTGCTGCATGTTGTTTTTTAGCTTGTATCTTAGATGGTTTTACTTTATGGAGTGCATCGTGTCTTTAGTACTTGAATTGCGCAGAGTGTTGTATTTTTCTAATCATGTGATATTTCAGCTAACAAAGGATAAAGAAGTCCCCCATTAAAATGAACAATCTTTTGTGACTGTAAATATTCTATATTTAAAATTTAAGTTGACCATTTTGTAATTAGTTGAGAGGTCCAACGGCCTGCATACTATTCTGCATTTGGTTAAATTAAATTTTAAACTTTTCGTTGTCATTGGTAGTTTACTTATGTCAGCTAACAATGAACACTTTCTTGTGACTGTAAATATTCTATATTTTAAAATTTAAGTTGACCATTTTGTAATTAGTTGAGAGGTCCAACGGCCTGCATACTATTCTGCATTTGGTTAAATTAAATTTTAAACTTTTCGTTGTCATTGGTAGTTTACTTATGTCAGCTAACAATGAACACTTTCTTGTGACTGTAAATATTCTATATTTTAAAATTTAAGTTGACCATTTTGTAATTAGTTGAGAGGTCCAACGGCCTGCATACTATTCTGCATTTGGTTAAATTAAATTTTAAACCTTTGTTGTCATTGGTAGTTTACTTATGTCAGCTAACAATGGACACTTTCTTGTGACTGTAAATATTCTATATTTTAAAATTTAAGTTGACCATTTTGTAATTAGTTGAGAGGTCCAACGGCCTGCATACTATTCTGCATTTGGTTAAATTAAATGTTAAACTTTTCGTTGTCATTGGTAGTTTACTTATGTCAGCTAACAATGAACACTTTCTTGTGACTGTAAATATTCTATATTTTAAAATTTAAGTTGACCATTTTGTAATTAGTTGAGAGGTCCAACGGCCTGCATACTATTCTGCATTTGGTTAAATTAAATTTTAAACTTTTCGTTGTCATTGGTAGTTTACTTATGTCAGCTAACAATGAAAACTTTCTTGTGACAGTAAATATTCTATATTTAAAATTTAAGTTGACCACTTTGTAATTAGTTGAGAGGTCCAACGGCCTGCATACTATTCTGCATTTGGTTAAATTAAATTTTAAACTTTTCGTTGTCATTGGTAGTTTACTTATGTCAGCTAACAATGAAAACTTTCTTGTGACAGTAAATATTCTATATTTAAAATTTAAGTTGACCACTTTGTAATTAGTTGAGAGGTCCAACGGCCTGCATACTATTCTGCATTTGGTTAAATTAAATTTTAAACTTTTCGTTGTCATTGGTAGTTAACTTATGTCAGCTAACAATGAACACTTTCTTGTGACTGTAAATATTCTATATTTTAAAATTTAAGTTGACCATTTTGTAATTAGTTGAGAGGTCCAACGGCCTGCATACTATTCTGCATTTGGTTAAATTAAATTTTAAGCTTTTGTTGTTATACCTAAACACAGACTCTTTCCTCACTACAACAGAAGGAGAGATAGAGCATGTTTGCTCCATCTCTTCTTTTGGTATTATTTTAAATGACCTTGACCTACTTACAGGACTTTGAAAATATCTTGGAAAAAATATAAAAACGGTAGTAATGGATCTGCCTTGTATATGTTTGAATCCGACCGGGCATATATTCTAGCTAGGGACCTACTATCGCTAGTTAATTTACATAAGCAGGTGCAGCGTTGTTCTACCCCCACCACTCAACCCGAGCGTATAAAAGGGCTGCGAGCAGACGGATGATTGTCAGTCTTGCACAACCGGTGAAGCTGACCGGATGGGCAAACTGGCTAAAGACGAGACCCTTAGTTTAGAGTTGGTACCACTCTAACCTAAGGTTCTTGTCACTTAGTAGTTATATTAGAAGCATGTTGATTGTAGTATTTGTTGGCTTGTAGTTAGAGGGTGTTTTGCGTATTTGTATCTTTGGTAAGGGTGTTGTATTTCTTAATTATGTGTTGTTCTATTTCAGGTATCAAAATAATAAAGTCCCTATTAGTAATTTTATTTTCAATTTGAGTTGATCATTGTATGTTACAAAGTTCTAAGTGACATTAGTAAGTTGAAAACGTTCCCACAAAACAAAAACATGAAACCAATAGTAAATTCATGACATAGAGTTCTCTTTGACATACACACATTTTTATGGGGACAGTTCGTTGACTGCGCTGCTCCGGCTATTGCTAATGAGTCTTTGATCAATACCATGAGGACAGTCCTTTGGCTGCGCTGCCTCTGATCAAAAAGACTGATACATTGGTCTTTAGCCAATTCAGACTTACACACAAACATGAAAATAAAACAAACACTAAGTTCCCCCACTACAACAAAATGAGATAGATGACATTCACACCTTTTTATGGGGACAGTTCGTTGACTGCGCTGCTCCGGCTATTGCTAATGAGTCTTTGATCAATACCATGAGGACAGTCCTTTGGCTGCGCTGCCTCTGATCAAAAAGACTGATACATTGGTCTTTAGCCAATTCAGACTTACACACAAACACGAAAATAAAACAAACACTAAGTTCCCCCACTACAACAAAAGGAGAGATGGAGCTTATTTTTGCTCCATCTCTCCTTTTGGCATTATTTTGAAATGACCTTGACCTACTTACAGGACTTAGAAAGCTTCCCTTAAAATACATAACAAACACTAAGTTCCCCTATTACAACAAAAGGAGAGATGGAGCTAATTTTTGCTCCATCTCTCCTTTTGGCAATATTTTTAAATGACCTTGACCTACTTACAGGACTTAGAAAGCTTCCTTACAGTACATTATTGGGAACCGAGAACAGTTCTTTTAAGTTAACACCAACGGACACAACATTTCCCCTCCAACCACAAGCTTCCCCCCTCCACCCACAAGCTTCCCCCCTCCACTTGAGTTTTGCTATAAAAGGAGGTTTGCTTCGCAGGCAATCATCATTCAATGGTCTGAAGTAGTCCTAGCTAGCTGAGTCAGCTCCAGTTACTATTCACTGTTTCATTTGCTATCATGGCTTACCTTAGAATTCCCACTAGACCCTCAAAAGTAGTTTCTTCATCTTCAAAGTCTCTTCCTCGATCTATTTTAATTTTATCACATGCGTCAGATCCAAAATCGGTTCTTCGAGAAATACTGCAGTCAGAAGGTGCAAGTCCTGGAGCAGAAGAACAATACACCTTCCGAGCCATTGGTGAGCAATCTCCTCCACTGATTGAAATATTGTCTTCATCTTCATCTTCACAATCAAGTTCGTCTTGTTCATCTTCTTCGGAGTCAACCTCATCTGATTCATCTACAAGCTCTTCCTCGTCCTCTGACTGCACTGTTGCTGATATTCTATCAACACCTACTGCTACTAGAACTGCATCTCCACCTCCAACTTCTACACCATGTATTTCTCCCTCGACAACTCCACCTTTACAATTCACTATTCCACCACCCATCATATCTCCTCTAAAAGACTCCCTACCAGCCACTTCCAAATCCTTTGACCACCTTCACACTTCTCCTTCAGATAAGTGTAAACAATTAATTGCTGACAGGAGAAGAAAATTTGCACACACCCTCTCTAAGTGTCGATATGTTTTTAAAAAGGGTGCTAGTAAGGGGGAACACTGTGAAAAGGTTTGTGTTTTGAATAGTGATATGTGCTCCATTCATTCAAAACACAATAAAACCACAGAGTCTTCCAATAAAATTAAAGAACTTCCCAAAGCAATCCGGGTAAGAAGGATGAAAAGGTGTACGAAATATTTCTTTGTCAGATGTGTATGGTTTAATAACATCATTATAAAACGTAACGATACAGGAGAGCATTTTTCAATTAGATTACCAAGAGATGTTGTAAACCCTGAACATCCGAAAAGAACTGACTACCTTATCCGGGATGCTAAAGGAAGATTGTCTTGGAAATCTTCAATTTCCAAGATCAAAAAGACACGGTAATTTTTTTCCTTTTAACATTTTACATTACCAAAGATAACACAGTAAATTCAATTTTTCCAAATTCTTAAAAAAAAATGTGTGAGCAATTTGTTTAATTCTGATACATCATGTGTAAAAACATGCTGCAGAATTAAATGAATTGTTCACACATTTTTTTTATTATCTTGCAATGACCTTGACCCACTTCTTAAACTTAGAAATTTCTGCAAAATTTTAAAATAATGATAATATCAATTTCTACCACTACTAAAAGTAAGGTGGTTTGTTTAACCCCACCCTTTACCCCCACCAGTACATAAAGGTATAAAAGACACTTGATATTGCACATGATTCATTTTTAGATTGGAGCTAGCAAAAGCAAGTTTAACTATGAATTCCCCAGCTACAATAATAATTAAAAGAAACTTAAAAACCCTTCAAGAAGCATTTGCATTCAGGGGAAGTTTAGAAAAATATTTAAATCATAGTGTGACATGTCATTTTACTTTGTGGAAGGAAGAGAGAAACATCTGGAACACAGAAGCAAACGGGTTGAAACTAGAATTAACTGATGTACGATTTAATAAAATAATTCGAAGGCTAGTGGAAATGTTAGATAAAGGGTATATTGTGACTGCCACATTCTACATAAAACCAGACCGCAATAACTAAAAACAAAATGGAGTAAAGGTTAAGGGTGGGGATAAAGGTGAATGGTAGGGGTTTGTCTATATAACATGTTTGCTGAGGTACAATCAGTTACTTCAGATTTACCACTCTTGTACATTATGTCTCCTGTGGACAATATTTTCCCGACAACTTCTTTTTTAAAAACCTTATTGGAAAACATTGTTTTTGAAGCTGGTTCAGAGGAAGAAGACATAGACTTGGAGGAAGAATCTTTATCCGAAGAAGAGTTGGAATCGGATGGTGATGAAAATTTGGAAGTATTGACTGATGAAGAGTTAGATGAAGAAGACAGAAGTTTTCCACTTGTTGAAGATTCATCATCTACTGAAGAGATGGTATGCTCGGAGAAACTTGTTGAGCTAAGGGAAACACCTACAACAAGTCATATAATGTTTAGTGCAATGTTTAGAAGTAAAAGACGATTGTTTGACTCTGACTCCGACTCTGACTCTGACTCTGATAGTTTACAAAAATTAAAATGAGAGGGTGGGTTGGGAGTTTGTTTTGCAAATCATCAATTTCCAAAACAAATACAGTAAATTTTCTATTTCTAAATTTTTAATCTTTGAAATATTTAATTTCTTTTAAATCCTGATAATCATAAAATCATAAAAGACACAGTAAATCGGCTTTTTCAAAATTTTGAAAAAAATGTCTGAGCAATTTGTTTAATTCTGGTATATCATGTTTAAGAAAACATGTTGCTGGGTTAAATAAATTGTTCACACATTTTTTTATTATTTGACAATGACCTTGACCTACTTAAAGAATTTAAAAATTCCATGGTTCAACAATAAAAGAAAATGTTACCCATTTCCCCCACTACTATAAAGTAAAGTGGGGAGTGGTCTACCCCCCACCACTATATGGAGGTATAAAAGAGGTTTGACATCCTGCATTAAACATTCTTATTTTTGGAACTCATAAACGCAAGTTTAGTCAAGATGGATAAACAAAAGATTAGACATAATGAAAGAGAAAGAAGGAGGGTGATGAAGCTAAATGAAACATTTGAGGTATTGAGAACCATACTCAAAGCTAAAAAAGGAACATCTAAACTTCAAATTATAAATTTATCAATTGAAAGAATAAGGTTTTTAGAAAAGGAAGTTGAAGAAGCAAGAATGAGGACTGTGGGAGAAATGAAAGAAGCTAGTACTATAATTGATAACCACGTTGAAAAATTAAAAGAAGATGATGATGAAAAAATGCTGTCGGACATGATACAATTAATGAATGGTGAAATGGAAGAGCGAATTCTGTCGGAAATGATGGAGTTATTGGGAAGAGTACTAACAAATAAAAAAATGGGACGTGGGTAGGTTGGGTTTGTCTTGGAAATCTTCAATTTCCAAGACTATAACACAGTAAATTGGGGCTTTTCCAAGTTTTGAACAGTAAATAACTTTTTTCCAAATTTTGAATAAAAAAATGTCTGACCAATTTATTTAGTTCTGGTATAACATGTGTAAAAACGTGTTTCAGAACTAAACGAATTGTTCACACATTTTTTTATTATCCTGCAATGACCTTGACCTACTAAACAGGAATAGTTAGTAAAAAATAAAATACCTTGTTTTTCTATAAATATGTTTGAAAGTTGAAGAATATCCTGTATTTACGTTAGATTATAAAGAAATTGGGAAATGGGGTGATGTCATTAATTTAATAGTAGTAGTAGAGGGGAGAGAGGGGAGGAAATGGTATAAATAGGGGTGGATGTTCACACCTTTCATCAGTATGTTGCTGCTTCTTGAATAGAGAACATCTACAACATGCTACGCTGCGCCATTTGTCAAGCCGAATTCGAGGATGAAATAGATCTTGTACTTCATGAAATAGTCGATCATCCTACAAATGCAGAGGAATTAGAAGGATATCAAGACTTGATTGAAGAATTGTATAAAATAGGACAAAAAGAAGAAGAAGAACCCAAACCATCTACTTCAAGAGATCGAGGAGAAGAAGAACCAAAACCATCTACTTCCATGCTACGCTGCGCCATTTGTCAAGCCACATTCGAGGATGAAATAGATCTTCTACTTCATGAAATAGTCGATCATCCTACAAATGAAGAGGAATTGGACGGATATCAAGACTTGATTGAAGAATTAAATCAAATAGGACAAGGAGAAGAGGAAGAACCCAAACCATCTACTTCAAGAAATCCAGGAGAAGAAGAACCGAAACCATCAACTTTAAGACCAAGTGTTATTCATTATGCACCCAAACGCCCAACTTCACCTTCAACTGATGCATCTCCAACAATTGTGGAACTACACGCTCATGCTCTACCGGGTAAAGTGGTAACACATTTTAAAATTGACAATGCTACATTAAAACTGGAAGAATTTATGTTTAGTGCAAAAGGACTAGTAATTGAAACGCTACAAAATGAATTACAAAGATTAAATTTTATAAAGTTTGGACTATTGCTGGATGTTATATTTATCAATATGCAAAATGAAACATCACCTAGAGGATTTTTAACAAAAAACAGAACCATTATGTTTGCCTCAGATATTGAATCAATTGTGGATGAATGTTTTGAAGAACTTTTGACAAAATTGCAAGAACATGAAGGCAGAGGATCAGGATGGACTGTATTGAGCATATCAGGTTTGGATGTAAGAGTGCATAAACATGGATATGGAATGAGAGGAAGTAGCTATATTCCTCTACCCAAGAAAATTAATGATACTAAATCTTGTGTAAATGTACAAAATGATGATACTGAATGTTTTAAATATTCAATGTTGGTAAAATATATCAAAAACAATCATCCAGAAAGAGTAGGAAGAGAATATGAAGAAGTGCAGCACAATTATAATTTTCAAGGAATGAGCTACCCTGTAAAAATCAAAGATATCACCAAGTTTGAAAAACAAAACCCAACTGCTTCTGTAAATATATATGGTTTAGATTCATCAAACAATGTATATCCTCTACGTATAAGTGCACAGGAACTAAATAATCACACAGACTTGTTATTAATCACCAAAGGTGAAATATCACACTATGTATATATTAAGAATTTTAACAGACTCCTTTCATTACAAGTGTCAAAGTTTAAAGAAAGTAAAACAATTTGTAAAAGATGTTTTTGTCATGTGAAACCTTTAAGAAGAGGAGGTTCTGAATGGTTGTTGGAACATAAAAGGTTATGCAATGGAAATGAAGAAGTTAAGATTAACCTACCACCAGCTGATAGAGCATTTGTACAGTTTAATAATGTAGTTCATCAATATAGAATTCCTATTGTCGTGTATGCCGATTTTGAATCTACTCTACTACCGTTGGAACATCAAGAGGACGACACATCAAGAAGAAACAAGTACCAACTACATTCACCCAACAGTTTTTGTCTACTCATCAAGTCAACGCTTTCCGAAGAATATTTACAAGATTATGGACTGACAGCTGAACCAAAAGTGTATCGTGGTGAAGATGCAGCTAAGCACTTTGTTGACGAGCTTTACTATATAGCTGAAAAAGTAGAGGCAATGTATGCACAGGTAAAACCTATGACACCTATGTCACCCGTTGAAGTTCAAGAATACGATTTATCAACTTCATGTTATCTGTGCAAGAAATCATTTACAGCGGATAATCATAAAGTGCATGACCACGACCATCTGACTGGAAGCTACAGAGGTGCTGCGTGTAACGCTTGTAACTTAAACTATAAAATTCCTAACTATATTCCAATTGTAATGCACAACTTAAGCGGCTATGATGGACATTTTATAATACCTGAATTAGGAAGGGACAATGGTAAAATTGATGTATTAGCCGTAACGATGGAACGGTTTATTAGTTTTTCAAAAATGGTTGGTAAAATGAAACTCAGATTTCTTGACTCATACAGATTTATGCCTTCTAGTCTTATGAAACTATCAGAAAATTTGACAAGAGAAAATTTAACAGAAACAAGTAAAATAGTAGAAAACAACAAATTGGATTTAGTTCTTCGAAAAGGAGTCTTCCCTTATGATTACATCGATGGATTGCACAGATTTGACGAGACATCACTTCCTCCACCAGAAGCCTTTACCAACAAGCTGAACAATTCAGAAATATCACCAGAAGATTACCAACATGCATGCAGAGTTTGGAACGAACTTGATATGGAAACATTAGGGGATTATTCAGATTTTTATGTTAAACTCGATGTTACTTTGCTTTGTGATGTGATGGAGGAATTCAGAAACACCTGTTTAGAAGCATACGGATTAGACCCTCTTCATTCTTACACCTCTCCAGGATTAGCTTGGCAGGCTATGTTAAAAGAAACCAATTGCAAACTTCAACTTTTAACAGATATTGATATGGTGCTGATGGTTGAGTCCGGTGTCAGAGGAGGATTGACTCAAAGCGTTGTAAGACATGTAAAAGCCAACAATAAAGATCTGCCAAACTACAACCAGCAAGAACCATCAGTTTATCTTGGGTATTTTGATGCAAACAATTTGTATGGATGGGCAATGTCCAACCCCCTTCCATATGATAACTTTAAATGGATAGACCCAGAGTCAATTGGAGATATTGTTCAAATTCCAAAACATGGTGACAAAGGATATATATTAGACTGCGATTTCGAATACCCAGAACATCTACACGACCTTCACTACGATCTTCCTCTTTTACCAAAAACTGAAATTTCACCAACTGGAAAACATCCTAAATTAATTATGAATTTAAATCACAAGCAAAGATATGTAGCGCACTTTTGGATTGTACAACAAGCACTTGAATTAGGTCTTCGTCTAACCAAAGTACACAGAGTTTTGGAATTTTCTCAATCTTGCTGGCTGAAACCATACATCGATTCCAACACTACAAGAAGAGCAGCAGCAACGTCAGCCTTTCAGAAGGACTTTTTTAAATTAATGAATAATGCCATATTCGGTAAAACTCTGGAAAATAAAAGGAAACACAAAAATGTAAAACTTGTAACAGATGCTAGGAAATTGGAGAAACTTGTACAGAAGCCCAACTTTGGATCATCAGTAATCATTAATGAAAACCTTGTTGCCGTATCTATGAAGAAAACTAGTATAAAAATGGATCGACCTTTGTATATAGGAATGTCAATATTAGATATATCAAAAACGCACATGTATGATTTTCACTACAACAAGATGGTTGCACATTATGGAAGAGAGAACATAGTTATAACTTACATGGATACAGATGCATTTATTTACAAGATAATTACTCAAGATATGTATAAAGATCTTCGCACATTTGTATATAAAGATGAATTTGATTTTTCTGACTATCCTAAAGATCATCCAAACTACGATCAAGACAGAAACAAGAAAGTATTAGGGAA